TCAACTAGGGCAAATGCTCGATTAATCGAAGGTTCGGGCTCCATAAGAAGTAATTGAGCCCTAATTTGACTAAACGAGTCATTTAACCCCATCAGAAACGACACCACATATTCAGTCTGAAAGTAATCAAAGATAGCCTGCATACCACCACAAGAACATCGACCACATGTACAGAACGGCCGATATGATGCTAATTCTGTCCACAAAGTCTTCAGCCGAGTGAAATAGGTACTGACAGACGATTGATCTTGAACCAAATTTGACAGATCACGCCGTAACTGAAAAACCTGTGGTCGATTTTGACTTTGAAAACGCTCTTTCAGATCTAACACATATCGCGCGCTGAATCAGTAAACAAAAGGCTCACCGAAATCTCGTTCGACAAAGAATTCAGAATCCACGCAATTACCACGTTGTTACAAATAATCCAGGAATTGAGTAACTCACCAATCGGCTGTTCGAGAGTTCCATCAATAAAGCCGATTTTGTTCTTAACAGTTAGGGCAATTGTCATAGAACGATTCCAAGAGGTATAATTTTCCTCGGTAAGCAAATCAGACACAAGAACAAGGCTTGTGTTATCAGAATGGTGAATAAAGTAAGGATTTGCATATTGATCGAGACAAGAAGGAACAGTCAACGAAGACGCTGCAGGAATCACAGAAGTGGCCGAAATTCCAGTCGGAATCAGAGTAGGAGGTGGAGCAATAGGGTCTGTTGGTACCTCAATCGGTGACACCATGATAATGAAGCAAGAACTCAGATGGCGGAAAAATCAAGAACGCCTAAGAAAATGGCGGGATCTGCAAGAACTCTCAAGAAAAAGACAAGTGTTCATCTGATACCATATTATAACCTCGAGAGTAAATTAAACTTGCTTATTTTTATTAAAAGGCATATAGTAGTATTTATAGACTACCACATAAAACAGCTATAGAGGTTACAAAATGTAACAACATTAAATTATTGTACATAGGTAAAATAAACTCTAATAACTTGTAACGAAATCCTATTTAGGAATCTCATAGCTGAGATCTGTGTTATCTAGATAGACTTTGTTTGACATAGCTTCTTTATTTGTATGGAATCAAATATCTTTAAAGCAATACAACTGTCATCAGAACACTTCGTTAAAACACAACTGGAACTACATCTCTTTTCATTGTTAGAACACTTCGTTTGTCAATACATTTGACGTAGTATTCATAAATAAGGTTTGTCCATAATCAAATGTCTTTCAGGCAATACAATTGGAACTACCTCTCTTCGTCAGAACAATGCCTTTAGGCAAACAATTGAAATTGGCTCTGCCTCTCTTTTTATTGTCAGAACTCAGAACATGGATGGAAGACATTGAGATGTTAGCTAGAGCTTTTCAAAGCAATTACCTTTAGTTATATGTGCAGAAGTTTAGCTTCTGAAAATGTTTTACTTTGTCCTAAAAAAAAAAGGTGCATGTTGTCAAGTGGCAGTATCTTTCTGAGTTATAAAAAAAAAAAACAAAATAACAATATAAACAAACATGTTTGTTATTAGTATAAATGAAAATTTTTAGAATATTAAACCTAATTTCTTCCTCGAATAATAGTTATCAAATCTTCTATTTATTCAATTATTTCTCCTTTTAATTATCATATTATTATAAGTTCTATATTCTTCGAAGCAAATTTAAGATATATTTGTTACTAATAATATGTCAGAGACTCAGATACCACCAAATCTCATTGAAGTTTTTGTTGTCCTCGAGAAATGGGGCTTTTTTCTTTTGATTATTCTTTTTATTGTTAAAAAAATAATTATTTCCTAACTTTTTAAATATTGTAGTTTTAATTTAGACCACGTTTGTCTCTTCAGTAATTAAATCATTAATCAAAATTTATCTGTTTAATTAGTTAGTTAGATCTAGTTTAAAATTTAATTTAAATAAATAATATTTAAATATTTATAACTTAACTAAATAATTAGTTTAGATTTAGATTTGGTTAGTTAACCAAACGTATATTCTAAAAAAATACTATTTCTTCTTTCATGTATTATAATTAGATTTATCTAGGACAACTTTCAATTGTTTTACTGTAATAATTCTTTTAAAAATTATTGATTTAGATTCTTAAGATGTGTTTTTTCATTATATAAAAACTACGATCTAACTCTTTTTTTTTTCTAATTTAATGAGTAAAATAGAAAAAAAAAGGTTAAAATAATATAATTTCCCTATATTTTACAACATTTAAGAACAAATTATAAGAGTAACTAGATCCAAAATAAAATAAAATATTATATAAATGAGTTAGTTAATTTAATCAAATCACGCAATCGAATTGGATTTGGAATATTTTTATTCCAATTCAATTAAATCCACCAACACCTCTATAAAAATGGTTAATTGAAATTGCGAAAGTATTGAATCCTCGGTCCAATTTAATTTAATCTGTTAAAAATTGAAGGCGAAATATATATTTTAGTTGTTGATGTTTGTTTTTAATTTAGTCTGTTGCGTGAAAGTAGTAATTTCCAATCACACAGGTCGTTATATAAAAATAAAGATTTTATAGGTTAAATTACAAAAGTACTGATGAACTTTGCCATTTGTTTAAAAATACCCATATTCTGTGATAATGGTAACGGAGAAGTTGATGTAGCATATACGTTATAATTTTGCCTATAACAATTACCTTTAGTTATACGGGGTAGAAGTTGGAAAATGGTTCTCATTGTTTGGCTTTTGAAAACAGTTTACTTTGTCTTCGGAAAAACCTTCCCGTTTCCCGGCTCACTCATTATGCAAGCAAGCAGCGCTTCTTTATCTTTGAATTATTCACATGTAAGGTTGAAAAAGAGAGTAATCTACATGTAACCTAAATGGTCGTGTCTTCTTAAATGAAGCCTATTCATTTATAAGGAAAGAAAAAAACAAAGTTAAAATACACTTTTGGTCCCTGAATTTGAAGGTATGTTTCTATTTAGTCCCTAAGTTTTAAAAAGTGACATTTTGGTCCATAACCTTTAGAAAATGGTTGTCCTTTGTATTAACATTCCGAAAGCTAACTTGACATGTGTGAGTTCGATAGATATAAATTTTATATTATTTGTCTTCTTTTTTTTTTTTTCATTTTTTCATTTCGNTTTCATTTTTTCATTTTTTTCTCTCTCTTCCCTCTTCATCCCTTCGCTTGGTTCTCTCTTCTCCCTCCATCTTAACCGCCGCAATGTTGAAAATTCAAGTTTCGCCCAGTTTTCTATTTTGTACGTATAAAAAAATAGATATCCATCACATCAACTTTGATTCTTTATAAATTTTGTTAGGTCTATTGATCTTTTCGACGTGAGATCATCCCAAAGTAGTGAATGAATAATATTTTCTTTTTGAAATTTAGATATTTATTGTATAAATAACATTTAAATTAACAAACAACAAATTGGAAAGCATAATAAATCAATGTAATTCTCTTGTCTCTATGCAATAATCCAATCTTATTTAACTTCCCCTGTTTTGTGCTTGGACACAAGAAAACCTTTGATTACACTGTTTCTTTCTTATACTTTCTTTTATCCACCCAAAAAAAGGCACCTATTTACTTTTGTTAATTTTCTACTTACTCCTAAACTTTAATATAATCAACCAAGACGGTTAGCCAAATATAAAATACAACTCAATTTTATGTAACGAAACTATTAATATAAATCTATAGTTTTCTCTTTTGCAAGTTACTCCTCCGGCTTTCAAGTTACCCGCTTTGAATAATAACAGCAAATTTGAGATTAGACCAAACTATTCAAACAAAAATAAAAATATTTATGCAAAATAATAAATGAACAAAACTCCAACCTCATATTATTAAACAAAAAAGTCAGAGTAAAAAATGTAAACTTTTCAAATCATGTTGACATGAACATTTACCGAAGTAACTCAAAAGAATCCCAACAAACCCAACCCAGAATTGGGTTGAGCTTTTAGAATCAAGAGTTCGGTTCGATTCGGTTCGATTCGTGGTTTATAAAATATTCGATTCAACTCGAACCGAACCAAATCGGTTTAGGTTCTCATACCTTAAAAAACTCTTCCCTCTCACTGCTCGCGATCTCAGTGCCTCTCAATCTCACAGAATCATGATCTTCACTCTTCAGAAGCTCTTGCCTCTCTCACGGGTCTCTCCCGCCGTCCCTCCGTCGCCCGTGGCTGCCGTCCGCCGTTCGCTGTCCTTCCGTCTTCCGTCGCCTCTCACGGTCTCACTCTTATCTCTCTCGCGGTACTTGTTGAATTAAATTCATTCCATAGACGTGCTGTGGATCTGTGATGATTATTCTTTAGAGGCAAAGGGCAAAAGACAGCAGGATTGAGTTTTCGATGTTTGAGTTTTATGAAATTTTAGGTTGGATGTGGTGTGGATTATTATGAACATTAGGAAAATCTAAAAAGTTTGGGTTGGGTTAGGGTTTGGCTCTTGATTTGGTCCATCTAGTAGAAGAACCGATCTTGTAAATAAAAAAAAAAACTCTCAAATCTGACCCAACCGAACCCAACTCGTGAATCCCCTCGAAACAGACTCATGGGATAAGGATTTAAAGCCCCACCTTTCATTTCCCTCTCCTTCCCTTACCATCATGGAGAAGCTACCCTCTTATCACTGAATGTCTGGCAATTTTTTTTTGTTTCTCCTCATTCTTCTGACATTCCAGAGGGACAATTTTTGTGGGTGTGTTGGGTTTTTTAGTGGTTCGTACTCAATTCTCCCCTCTACTCCCTCCAATGGCTCTCTGCTCTTTTTCTGTTTCTGGGGCTTCTCAATTCTGTGTCGTTCGTCCTCAAAACTATCAGCTTCTACCTTGGTTGCTTTATTAGAGATTGAGATTCTTACATAAATTTCAATTCATATTCGTGTTGCTTCTTTCTGGTTTGTTGGTTTGGTTATTGCAGTGGAGTTGGTCGGAGACTTTGGTAACTGAGCTGACCCTGAATTGGTTTAGGGAAATTAAGTTCCAATTCTTGTGAAGTTTCTGTTGGGGAGTCGACTTCTTTGATATTTTAACGAGCATATAGTTTATCACCTCCAACATTTTGGAGGTTAAGATTCTAATTAAGGTGTACACTAAACTTGTTCAAGTTCTGCAGTGTCAGATTAGGTATCTAAAATGTCTGAGTAGACTTCTTCTGGTCAATTATAAGGATGGTTTGGAGAGCTTTAATTGGCCAATTCTATAATTTTTGACGTTGAGTTTTAGCTGGCACGGGATTCTATCATTAAATGAGTTCTTGGTTTAGGCTACTTTAATGAGTACCGTTTAGCTTAGATGTTGATTATCTTTATATGTTAATATGGTTCTGTTAAGTTTGATGTGGGTTACCTGAAAGAGTTGAATAAGATTGAATTTGTTGGATGGAAGTTGAATTTCTAAGGTTGGTAATGTCAATAGTTTCTTCATTGGTTTATGTCAGAATGAAATCTATGCGTTTTGTCTCATGGTTTTGCTATTATGGAGAATTTTCTTGTACAAAATTGTGATACTGTTAATGTCTACTGCAGGGGGAAGCAAGGCATGAAGAACTAACGACTAGAAAGAGGCCCTTCTCCCTACAAACAGAACTTTTTCTGCTGCATACACATTAACTTTCTTGACTAAATATGATGTCGGTGATAAGTCCATCTTCTATCAACAATGTTTCGCTTGTTCCCATAACCTTGCATACAGGGAAGAGCAATAATTCAACAAGATTCAGCCTTTTTAGAAAATCCACCAAACATACACTTCATTACCAAAGATTTGTTTTACCCCTATCAACTTCGGTTAGACTGTTTCGAAATTGTAGTAAAAATTATTTTTGTAATCATGGCCGTAGGATCCCTATATTATCTGCCTCAGGAACTGATGTGGTAGTGGAGGAGTCAGATTCACCAGTTTCTGGTGAAGCTTCAAGTCGAAGCCCAGAGCTTCCGTCCAGCACAGTTTCGACAGATGAAAAAGACCCTGTTAAATCAGATGCTGGTACTGCAGCTTCGACACAGTCAAAGCGTTCAAGACCTGTGAGGAAGAGCGAGATGCCAGCTGTAAACAAGGAGGAACTCATTCCTGGTGCAACTTTTACTGGGAAAGTGAGATCAATTCAACCATTTGGTGCCTTCGTTGATTTTGGAGCATTCACTGATGGCTTAGTACATGTATCAAGGTTAAGTGATAGTTTTGTTAAAGATGTCACAAGTGTTGTTTCTGTTGGGCAAGAGGTGAAAGTAAGATTAATCGAAGCAAACGCTGAGACTGGACGAATCTCTCTCTCAATGCGTGAAAGTGATGAAAGGAAAGAATCTCCTTCCAGCAACGATAAACCTGGGCCTGGTAGAAAGAACTCTCCAAAACCGAGAAGACAAAAGAGGGATGAGGTGAAGAAAAGCTCAAAGTTTGTCAAGGGGCAAGATTTACAGGGCACAGTGAAAAATATTACCAGGTCCGGTGCCTTTATATCACTTCCTGAGGGAGAGGAAGGGTTCCTCCCCAATTCAGAGGAATCTTTTGAAGGATTTGGGAATCTTATGGGAGGCTCTACGTTAGAAATTGGCCAAGAGGTTGATGTTAGGGTGTTGCGGATTGCAAGAGGACAGGTAACTTTGACCATGAAAAAAGACGAAGACAAAGAAACTTCAGATTCTCAGCATCAAGGGAAAGTCTATGCTGCAACAAACCCCTTCTTGCTAGCATTTCGTAAGAACAAAGATATTGCTGCATTTTTAGATGAAAGGGAAAAAGTAGATGATGCTGCTAAAAAAACTGTGGTACAGAAGGTTACGGAAATTGTAGAAGGAATAGTTGATGCAGATCAGACCATAGCTGATGATTCCACCAAAGTGATAGATGAGGAAATAAGTGACGACAAGGAGAAGGAAAGTCTGCCTTCTGTAGTTGATGAAGCAGTTAGTGATGATGAACCTGCAGGTTCAGCTGATTCATCTGCTATGGATCAAGATGACTCAGAAAGCATATCATCTAGTTCAGAAATTATTGTGGATGGTGTAGTTGATACGGACAAGAAAGAAGCAGAGGGCAGTTCTGAGGTTTCTGAAGACAACCAATTAGCATCAGACCAGGCAGTTGATCCAACTAAAGTGTTAGATGACTCGTCTTCTGATGTTTCGGTGCCTCAAGATGAAGGAGAAAGCATAATATCTGGATCAGACAATATTTTGGATGGTGCAACTGATACCATTGAGAAAGAAGCAGGGGAAAGTTCTGAAGTAAAGGCTTCAGAAGACAACCAATCAGAAAAAGTCCAGGTGGTTGGGCCTGCTCAACCCATAGATGGACCTGAGACTGATGGGAAAGTACTCGCCTCTGATGAAGAAGCTAGCAAATTAGTGTCTTCAGAAAGTCCAGTTAGTGAAGAGCTGGTGACTAGTGAAGACAGTGTTGTTGAAGAGAGAGAAAGCGATGAAAGACAAACAGATTTGGAAAATGAAATTGTTTCTGCTTCTCCATCTGAAAAAGAAGAGGACAAACCAGAATCTGATTCCAACGGTAGTATTGGGATCTTAGGTATAATTCCAGAATCATGTTAGAAATTTTAATATGTATTTTTTAACTGCTCAATCATGAGGGTGCGTATTTTATTTTGGATTTAGCTCCATTCGGATAAGTAGAATTGAAACTGAGAGACCAGTATCCATTACACTTGCTTGGGCAAATTTTTCTAGCCCAGTGCTAGATTTTGTCATTGACTAAGATGAAACATGAGGGTGAGGCATTTGTTTCTATATTATAGTCCTAACTTGCAGTAGCGGTTAATAGTTCATAGAATATTGAAATTATCATTAACAAGTAGTTATCTGGATGAAATTCTAATCTTTCTGGAGATTCAACTGAGGATCAAATCCAACCTTTTGTAGGTCAAACTACTGAAGAAGTCGCTGAGAGTCAAGTTGATATTGAGGCACCTGCTGAAAACCCTGAAGTTCTCTCCTCAACACCAGTTGTAGAAGAAAAGATAGAAACCGCTCATGAGAACAGTGCTAATTCTCCGGAAGAAGTTGCACCTAAAGGTTGACTTAGAAGTATTTTTTCTAAGTCCAGTTTATTTGAAAATCATCACCTAGACTAGCCATTGGCAATAATTCTTTGGTCAATTGTAGTAGACTTGTAATAGATAAAATAATCACTATAATTTATAATTCAAAGCTGTACATATATGATAACTGGTAGTGCAATTGAATATTTGACTTGATCTCCCATGTTGGGTTTACTTGATATGATGCCTGCAAATAGCTTCTCATTTAATTCTTTGAATGTCTGATGCGTTGCAGCTGTGATAGCACCAGCTTTGGTAAAGCAGCTTCGTGACGAAACAGGAGCAGGAATGATGGATTGTAAAAAAGCTCTGGCTGAGAGCGGAGGTGACATAGCTAAAGCTCAGGAGTTCCTCAGGAAGAAAGGTTTAGCAAGCGCAGAAAAAAAAGCTAGTAGAGCCACAGCTGAAGGAAGAGTAGGTTCCTATATTCATGATGGTAGGATCGGAGTCCTAATAGAAATGAACTGTGAAACAGATTTCGTCTCAAGAGGAGACATCTTCAAGGAGTTGGTTGACGATTTAGCAATGCAAGTCGCCGCGTGCCCTCAAGTACAATACGTGGTGACTGAAGATGTCCCAGAAGAGATCGTGAACAAAGAAAGAGAGGTTGAGATGCAGAAGGAAGATCTTCTCTCAAAACCCGAACAGATCAGATCAAGAATCGTTGATGGGCGGATAGGGAAAAGACTTGAGGAGTTGGCATTGCTTGAACAACCATATATTAAGAATGATAAGGTGGTGTTAAAGGACTGGGTTAAACAAACTATTGCTACCATTGGAGAAAACATTAAGGTTAAGAGATTTGTGAGATACAATCTTGGAGAAGGCTTGGAGAAGAAAAGCCAAGATTTTGCTGCTGAGGTGGCAGCACAGACAGCAGCTAAACCTGCTGCTGCAACTGCAACAGTAAAAGAGCAGCCCAGTGCAGAGGAAGCTAAGGAAACTGTTCCCAAGTAAGTGGCCTTCTCTTAATTTATCCTTTGCTTTGAGCTTTTCTATTACATTTCATTCTTGTAATCTCCTCCATCTCCTTTGTTTCGTCAGTAGAATGGGAACACATATGCTAAGACATATTATCTTTCTAGTGATACTAATTTCAATGCTGTATTGCAGGGCTGCAGCTGTTGCTGTTCCTGCTGCGCTTGTTAAAAAACTCCGAGAAGAGACTGGAGCAGGGATGATGGACTGTAAGAAAGCCCTCTCTGAAACTGGTGGGGATCTAGAGAAGGCACAAGAGTACCTAAGAAAGAAAGGCCTTTCGAGCGCGGACAAGAAATCTAGCCGCCTAGCCGCCGAAGGCAGAATCGGATCCTACATTCACGACTCCCGTATCGGTGTTCTAATTGAAGTGAACTGTGAAACTGACTTCGTGGGTAGGAATGAAAGATTCAAAGAGTTAGTCGATGACCTCGCAATGCAGGTCGTGGCATGCCCAGGGGTGCAGTATGTATCAATAGAGGACATTCCAGAAAGCATTGTCAAAAGAGAGAGAGAGATCGAGTTGCAGAGGGAGGACCTTCAGACAAAACCAGAGAATATCAGGGAGAAAATCGTTGACGGGCGGATTTCCAAGAGGCTCGGAGAACTTGTGCTTTTAGAACAACCTTTCATCAAGGATGATAGTATTTTGGTCAAGGATTTGGTAAAGCAAACTGTTGCTTCTCTTGGTGAGAACATAAAGGTTCGTAGATTCGTTCGTTTCACCATTGGCGAGGCTGTCGAAGATGCAAACGTGAAAACTGAAGCATGAATGAAGAAAACCGAATACCGGGCATTGAGATTGAAGCTAGAAATGGAGCCATGGGTGACAGTACAGAAGAATATGAAGCCATAGCCAAGGTATTAACTGCTTTTATGAAAAGAAACTTCGAATATTCATTTTCCTCTCTTTTTTGGTAGCGAAGAGTTGAGTTTACTGAAAAGCTGCTTTGTAGCATTTTATTCTGAGAGATGGTAAAAGCTTTATTCATATTATTCTCTGCATTTTCACCGATTGTTATTAATCTGTTTGAGGCATTTTTCAATCATCATATTCATTAATGGTTTAAATCTTAGCTATAGTTTTACTTGTAAAGTTTAATTTATTATAAAAATGTCAATTCAGATGAACTAATTTTGTTAACATTCATAATAATTATTAATAGTTAATGCATTATCTTTAATTATAATTTAAAACCAAGCATAGTGTAATGCAATGATAGCATAAAACATATTATTTTAATAAATTAATGAAACTTTAGATTGATTTTTGACTGACATTGAAGAATAGTTCATAGTTTAATCTAAAATAATCTTGAAAAACAGACTACTTATTGACTGTAATTTTTAAATAATTTGGTTGATCTTGAGTGATAAATCACTCATTGACTGCGGAGTGCAATTGAGCCCATTAAAATAATAATAATAATATAGGTTAAAAAACACATTTTGTTCTACTTTTAAATTTATAAGAATTTGAATTTTAATACGTAATAATTTAGTCACTTTAGTTCAGAATTTGTAACAATTTAATTTCTATAACGAAAATTTTCATCAAAATTAAGTATCATCTTTTATCATATAAAGATCTAGTTTTTGTAATTTATTAATACATTTGGTCCCTAATTTCAAAGTACATAAATTAAATAAAAAAAACATATAAAATTGAACACATTTATTTGTCTTTGTAGGCTTCGAAACTCTTTTTCAAAAATCCTAAAAAACAATGTTCCTTTTTTTTTTTTTAATATACAAAATCTACTTAAAAAATAAAATAATTATAAAAATAATAGACATATTTGACGTGACAACGTGGGGGAAAAAGATTTAAGATAAAATAATGGTAAGGTATTGCAGGTTTGAAATTATTTATAATGAATATTATAGTTTACATTCGGGAAATTGCCAAATTTTGAAGGGTTAAAGAGATTGAAGATCACTTTTTTCGTTTATAGGTAGTAAGACTTTTAAGAGATGAAATATCCTTTTTAAAAACATTATTTAAAAAAAAAATCCTATTTAAACCTGTAAAAATGTCTTACTTGGTAATTTCCCATAGGATTTTTTTTTCTTAAATAATGTTTTAAAAAAAATAATGACAAAAAAAAAATTCTATTTGAGAGTTAAAAAATTCAATTCTTTTATATAAATAAATCTATTTTCGAAAATTTAGTAAGATTTGTTTCAACATTATTTTAGAAAACTTTTTAATGTACTTTATGAGATAAATTTTCAAAATATGAAGTTTGCTCCTAAGGGCTCTCTACCGAATAAGGGACAAATTTGAATAAATAACATAGGTTCCATAATAAATATTAATTTGAATAAAAAAATTAAAAAGGAAAATCGTATACAATATATGCAATTTCGAAGAGAAATCACGTACAATATATATGTGATTTCAAAATCGCCTACAATGTACACGATTTTCAATCTCACGTGAATCCTTGACTTTGACCACCCCGCCCTATCTTTGTCAATAATTTTCATAACCACCTTAGTTTTGAAATTTTTATTTAATTTACATTTTTTTTTTGTTTTACTTTAAAGTCTACGTTATTTTTGTAATTTATTTTTTAAATAACATTATTCTTAAATTTGAACTTAAATAGATTGAGTACCACTTTTTTAGTAGGACTTTTTAGTGATGAAAAGTCCTAATTATCCTTCTTAACATTTTTCCTCCAAGTGTATAAACCCTCCATCTCGCGTGAAATTATACACGGAGAAGAGGTCAAAGCGAGTATAGCTCAGCGGTAATTGGCATATCTAGTGGCATCAGCACGAAGAGTCTTCCTCCAATGACTATTCAACTTCTCCTCTTCCAACGACTAACCTCTATTGATTCCAGTGACAACGACGAGCGAACTTTTAGATGATAGGCAGTGACAGCGACAAACACCCAGGACAAAATACTTCATGAAATCTCCTCCTTGCAGCACACACAAACAACGAAATTGGTCAACAACGGCGAACTCCAACGAACGTTCAAGTATGTTCTTACTCAGTAACTTAAACCGAACACTATTTTAGGTATTCAACTTTTCTTTCTTTGATCCTTTCTTTATTATCATTCTTGTTCTAATCATTTCTATTTTGATAAGCTGTGTTTTCTTCTTCATCGCTTGAGTTGTTTGTGCAAGAAGAAAAACAAAATGAAAAATGGTGATTTTTCTTTGAATATATATTTTTTTAATTACTTTGATTATTAATGTTGAAGTCATTCGATCGCCTTCCATTTTATTTGTATTGCTTAGATCGAAAAAAATAATTAAATAGTCATATGTGCTGCTTAATTATTACTTTTTTTTTAATCTGCTTTACTCTATATTGTTGTAGGAATTAAAAAAAGGTGTTTTAAAAATGATTCATGTATTAGAGGAAAAATTTTCAAGTATCATTTTATGGCGCTAGGTTCATGTATTTGAGGATTCTTGAATTGCGTATAACTTGTTATTGTTATTGATGGAACATATTTGACGTTCAAATATTGAGATGCTTTGATAATTGGCCACATGCTTAAATGACAATAATCAAATTTAATTATCCTATGACATAGATAATTCCATAAAATGGATTTTGCAAAAGCTAAAAGGAGTAATAGGTAATAGGTAAGGTTAACGACCTGGTTTTCGTTTCAGATCGAAATAATATCCTATCGAAGTTTATTGCTTCTGTGTTTCCCAATGCCTTTCATGGTTATGCATTCACATTTTAAAACAGAATTTGAGTGCTAAATTCAAGAAGGAAACAATTGAATAATTGTTTGTCAATACTACTAAAGTCTATAAGAAGTTGAAATTTAGGGAGTTCTGGGAGAGTATCACATCATTTGATTGGAAGAAGTTGGACTTTCACGTTGCGCACGTATACATTGCCCTAGAAGACGGTACAATATGGTGACTACAAATATAATATAGTCCATGAAAGCTCTACTAAAAGAAACTAGAGAATTACCTGCTACTTCATTACTTGAACATGTGAGAGCTTTGTTACAAAGGTGGTTTTGGGAGCGTCATGATTAAGCTTCAAAAGTTACATCTACGTTGACGAAATGGGTAGAAGAAATTGTTGAAAAAAACTAAGATGAATCTGTGTAACAATGAAGGTACATCTGATTCATTGTTATAAATTTCAAGTAGTAGATGTAGACAAAGAGGAGACCGTAAACCTTAATACTCGAGAATTCAACCAGAAGATGGATAAGGAAGATGATGGGGAAGAAGAGGAAAAGGAAGATGTGGAAGAGGGAAAGCAAGATGAAGATGAAGAACAGGAATCCTACGAGGAGCTTCCACTTCCTGCTGATGTGATTAAGCTTATCTCCTCCAAACTACTCTGTGCATTTGTCCAGTGAAGCATGTAACAATCTGATCGTAACTTGTAAGTTTAATCTTTCATCTCAATTTCCAACCTCGTTTTTGCCCATATTTCTCCTGATCGTAATCTTCAGTGTGTGGAATTTGATCCTAAACATCCAGAATAGATTAGTAGTGTTCAAAATTTAGTTTTCATCCCAAGTTTTTCTCCAAGATTACTCGTATCATGTACAATCTGGTGGTACCTTGGTGGAAATTTTCGCCTAAATCTAAATCTAAATCTAAATTTATTATCATGTACGTGATAATAAATCTAATTTAGATATTAACCCCTACGAGGGAGTTTGTAATATTTATTTAGTTTTTGGTTTTGTTTTTGTCAAAATAAACCACTCTGGCTACTGGTTAGAAGATTAGATATGGCTTTTGGTAAATCATTTTCTTTTATGCTTATTCCTGAAAATTTATATTCGACCCTATTGAAAATTTTGTTATATATATATATATATATGTAAAGAATTGTTGTTTGGGTTTGAGTTTGCTACCAATGGTATAATAACACATTTAAGTTTGATTTTTTTTTTTAATTACTGAAAGCATGGCCTAGATTGATGTTATAAAGATATGTCATCACATGTCAGTTTTGAGTATGTGGTTATAAAGATATGCACTTTCTGTTTTTTATTCTTTGGTGTGGATTGACCTATAATGAAACATAATGCAGCAGCAGACATTGACACTGACACGTCATCAATGACGGCAACTTTTTAATGTAGATGAAATAAGATATGTATTAGTAGATGAATAACCCTGAAAAATTGAGACACATCTACTCTTCTTTAAGTTGAAAGTTCAAATCGTAATACTCCATTATAAAAAAATAAAAAATACCACATTAGATATATTTACTTTTTACCAAAATGGGAGGTAAAGGTGAAATGAGAAGAAAAAACTGTGGTTAGGATTTTGAACCCAAATCAACTCTAATTTACCAAAAATGCATTGAAAGTATGTGTGGATTACAGAAATTTGCATAAAATTTACTAAACTTCCACTGAGAAATATCTATATATTATTTGCATAGAAGTTATACATTTCATCCGATCTTAAAAATATATAAAAATAAAGCAAATAAAATAAAAATCCTCCTTCAAGTTAAATTGAAAGAGTCAATTGGATGAAGAGCAGTTATTCTAAGGTCTTGGCCTTGTGTCAATAACTTCATCCTCTCATTCTTAGGGTTATAAGAGACTAAATAGAATTCAAAAATATGAGAAATAAGACATAACATGTTCCCAAGACTCTAATAAGTTGAAGGTTAAATGGTCGTCCACATCCTTGATGCAAGTATTGATTTGGTATGAAAATATCAAAAGCTTTGGTCCACGAAAAATCTTCTTCCATCTTCCACACGCGGTACACGTAATCCAGGATAAGCAAGAGGGCGCCATTAAAGACTCCAATGAAACAACAATAACAAACACGATGAGGAAAAGAAATTTCTTGGAATTTCTCCTCTTCTATATCCAAACTGTATATGACCTTTGTAACAGGTAGTTGTAAGTGAGTTCCAACCCAATAGAGGCCTCCATTGAAGTAAACACCATGTTCTTCCATTCTCACATATGGAGGCAGAAAGCCAAGAGAGGTCCATTTGTGAGTTGTGCCAAATGTGAAAATCTCCACCAAGGTAGCAAGTTTG